CCAGCGATGGCCTCCAACCTAAGAGCGATGGCCTCCAACCTAGAAGCAATGGCCTCCAACTTTCCAGCGATGGCCTCCAACCTAAGAGCGATGGCCTCCAACCTAAGAGCGATGGCCTCCAACCTAGAAGCAAAGGCCTCCAACTTACCAGCGATGGCCTCCAACTTACCAGCGATGGCCTCCAACCTAAGAGGGATGGCCTCCAACCTAGAAGCAAAGGCCTCCAACTTGCCAGCGATGGCCTCCAACCTACTAGCGATTGCCTCCAACCTAAGAGCAATGGCCCCCAACCTAAGAGCAATGGTCTCCAACCTAAGAGCGATGGCCTCCAACCTAATAGTGTGAATACTTCCACATATACTTCCACATACTTCAATCTGCTAAACACCGTTGCGTGAAGCTCCGTGCTCAGCTGTCTAAAGCGTTCGACACTGGCTCCTCGCTCACATCATCCTCACAAGTGCTGCGACATGAATACACCCTTGACATCAAGAGTCAAACCCAACTCCTTTGTAGTATGCAGGACTGTCAGCAGCCCTTTGCTATTTGCTGGTCACAGCAGAACATCTCAACAAACATCCACAGCCCTGTCCCCAGCCTCATCCAATTCTTCTTGTCTCACGAAAATTTGCGGCATCCCTTCTTTAAAACCATGAGGCAAGCCTTGCTTGATCAATCTTTCAGCTTTTTTCCAGGGCCTATGGCTCTCGCTCTCAGGACTCTCAGGTGTTTTTCTTTGTTTCTCATAAGTTAAGCACATTTAACCAATCTGTGCAAGTTCTTCTTGGGTCTTCAAAATTGCCAGTGCTGTGACTTAACAAGCTTCTCTAGTGCTTGCAAGCTAAAAAATTCACACCATGTCGACACCCTGCCAAAACCATCCAGTCAAATAGCTGGAACAACTCACACGAAGTTACCTTTCTCTGGGGCTGAATTTGCTTGCTTGAGTCTGACAAGACTATGATGTACTAATCAGCTGCATGCACAAATTCAATCTCATGCATCACGCTCGTGCTTCATGAAGCTGGACATCTCAGGCATTGTAATCCCGTCCCGGAAACATAGCACTGTAATCTTCTTTTCAACGCTTGAGAGGTCATTTCTCCTGAGAAGCGAGAAAAGACCAGAGCTGCAACTGGTTGACTGAGATAAATGATGATAGATGTCTCAGTTGTACCAGGTAGACGATCAAACGTCTAAACGAAAACGCATACATGTCATACCTCTCCTGGGATATCTGTCGCTCGCCAAGCAGTCGACTGGTGGTGTCCGGACAGACGAAAGACTTTGTGAAACCTGTCCTTGGATCCTTCATTGATCACAACTCCAGCGAAGTCATCGAGCCGCCCGTCCTGTCCGGGACTGGTTTCATATGGAAACTGAAACCTGGAAGATGATCCGGAAGATCAGTCAGCTGGAATCCTTCTTGTAAGGCCCGCTCCTACTTGATTATATAAGTAAGCGCCTACTTAATTGAGTAAGGAAGTAGGGCCTATGCTACTAGCAATAGGAAGCTCCTACCTACTGGACACAGGATAGCCCACGCTTCTTCAAGGAAGCTCCCCCCACCTGAGGGCAGGGGAGCTTCCTTGAAGAAGCGCTCGCACTAATGATTTGGTTCCTGGATGTTAGGGAAACCCACCAAATGGTGGCCACCAAGCTGCTTCCCGGGTCGTGCGCCTCAACAGCTTTGTACTGCTCTCGAAGAATGGCCAGCTTCCTGGCGGATCTGACAGGGTTGGAGGCCATTGCTAATAGGTTGGAGACTTCAGGGTCTAGAAAGGTTTGTGTTTGAGTGTAACAGGTTGCTGTTAAACTCCACCTCGTCGTGCCACGAGACCCACGACGACCCGCGACTTGTTTGATTGCGGAGAGTACGAAAGAAGATCGCGTGACTAGGAGAAGGAATCCTTCAGCGGTTTTGGGAATCATGGCAATGCCAAGGAGTGACCCATCATGATCAGAATGACCTCTTCGTGACTCTTCGTTTCACCGGAGAATTGCTGCCGGATGCACTTGTCGATGTCCTCCACGTGAGCCTCGTGGAAGAACACATGGAAGATTTGAGCGACTTTTCCCCACAGAAGAAAACATTGAACGGGCGACAAAAGTGGCCGGTGTCGCGGTGTCGGCGCCTCGTGGTCTTGGGCTTCTTTGAACTCACCACGGGACTGTGCCCATCCATGATGATACACAGCATCCTTCCTGCAACGGCTCACTCCATCAAGTTGAACAAAAGCTCAGCCCCACATCCAATGCCACTGGCCACAGGAAGACTAGACTATAAAAAATCATACAAAATTCAATTAGTCGGAGGTTGAATAAAAATTTTCGAGAAAAGTCCTGATCGATCGCAAATTCTCCTCAGCGACTACGTCTAAGATCGTCTAAGTCTGGCTGGGATGAAATGTCTTTTACAGCGAGAAAGGAACCAACCTGACTGAGGTTTCTGGAACCGCCCATAGCTTGCAAAGCGTCATACTCATTGTTGATGGTATCCAAACGTGCTTGCTTCCTTTGCCACCGCCGCAGCGACTGGTAGGCCCTTGGTCACTCCAACGAATCCACCGAAATTCTCGGCGACGAAGGACATCTCAGGCGCTGACCGCATTCCAAAAACGGCCACACAGGCGGTTCCCAGCAAAGCCACTAGACATGCAAGCCAAGTCTCCATGAAGGCCGGCCCTACCCGGACGCGAGCGCTTGGTAAACGAAGAATCAAAGACACAGAATGACTGTGGGAAGATCTTCAACTGGTTTCGGGTTTTTTCTTGAATAAGGGTATAGAAATATTGCTGATGTCCAATCGTGGTCTTCTGGTTTGTTGGGGTGCCTCTTGTTGTCTGAGATGAGGTTCATTGATTGCATGTACCCACGTAATTAGTTTGACCGGATGGTGGGTCCCTCTCGTTTCTGCATGAGAAGCACATTGGGTCTCAAGAGTTCTGAAATGGCTGAGGTGGCCATAGTCGCATTGACCAGCCAGCATCTGGACTTCAATCAGATAAGGTATGTCCATTATGCCGCGTACGCGGTGCATGCACAAACAAAACGTTTCGCGTCAAGACCAGGATACCTTGCCTGACCTACCTGGAGGGTCAAGCTACACGGTGTTGGGGTTCCATGAAGAAAGAGCCTCTATACCCACTCACGCCACTTGAGCCAAAATTGATCGAAATCAGAACCAGTGACATGGTGTCTGCTCTTCTGTGTCCTAAGGATTCTGGTAAATGGGTTGGTGGATCTCTTCAAATGACTGTACATATTCCATTCCTGTGCTGCCGCATACAATGCAAATGAAAGCGCTTGCCAAAAATAGTTTCGAATGCTACAGTTCGGCCCTCTAGAAATCTCCATTGAGCTCAACTCAAATGGAGTGATTACTTGTTGTGAAGATTCCGTGTAACACTATTCAGCATACAAGAAAGCGTGTACATTCCGACACGGATGGAGCGTCACGCTCCAGGTTTTGCCAAAGTCGGTGTGCAGAGTGCGTACCGCTGGTCTGTCCTACCACACCCAAAAGCCGCCTGCACCGCCGCGCCGCCACCGACCGCAGTCCCGATCGCACCCGTTTTCCGCAGAGAGTTGCCTTGGGCAGTTGTGTTGATTCATCCAGATCTCTGTGAAAAGGAAGCAATGAAAAAACAGGAAGAAAGGCTCGGTGGACAGTGGAGTTGATTGCACAACAAGACTAGCGATCATCAGATCATCTCATTGGCTAGGCAGAATGGTTTTCACATCTGAATGGCACTTTCTCATAGAGAAGGCTGTGACGTTTCGCCACGGCCGAAACCTGTGTGGAGTATCCTCCAGAGTTAGAGAAGATACCATGCTGTGTACATGGGAAACCATGCAGTTCAGGTCATCGAAACAGCTCTTCACTACTTCTTCCTCTCGTTCTTCCTTCTGCTAGACCTTTTGGTCCCTTGATAGTTTTTTCTTCTGACTCCCAGCAAAAAAACACATCGTTGCTACCCGTAGCTTCTAAAGGGGCCCTGTGCAGGAGTGACATCTTGGACCAGCTGCAGGATCTCATTCGAGCAGTGTTCAAGCGCACCAAGCTCACAGTCCGTCAGGATCAGCCCACTTTGATGAGTCGGATGCCCTGCGCTCTAAGCAAGCTTGGCCACACAAGGGTTTCAGACATGCCAGTGCTCGTGTTGCCAAAGACTTCGGTGACGTTGGTTGAAACCATCTCGGGTGTATGACCTCTGCAAAACGCGTGACACGCTGGTCTCCTGTCTACTATAATATAGTAAGCATACGTCCTCTAGCGATTTCACACGCGTGCTTGTGAGTAAGGCGCTTATGTGGCTTGACATGTCATAGTGAATGGGTCCTGCTGCAAATCATTTCGCGCTTTTCAGCAAACTTTCCGCATGAGATCTGTTTGCAACACATCTGCAGTGTCGTGGCCAACATGGTTCTTGAGCACACATGCTGATATGTGTCCTGTCGTCCCAGCAATTTAAATTGCAAGTGCGGCTGAATATCGGAACAGAGTCAAACATGCAGTATATGTATTCCATCGCATTCCAAAAGGAACCCAAATCACTCAAACTGACAGCGAAGACGAGAGGAACGTTTGCCGCACATCACAAAAGGACACGACGACGACACCGGCGCGGCCGCACGGCCTTGTTGGTGTACCACTCCTTCTTGCCAATATCCCAGACTTGCCACTCCCCCAGATTGCAGGGGATCGCCTCAAGAAAACCCTTTTGAGTGTTAAACCCAACGAACTTCAATTCGTGAAACAATCTCACATTGGGTGACAACCACCAAAATTGGACAGATTGTGAGCTTAAGACTTGCTATCGCAAGTGTCACGTGATTTCCGGCCATTTCAGATGCAAACCTGATCTTTACCACAATGTCCCTATCTGGTATCCACATCCTGTAACTTTACATCAACCGGATCTCCAAAAACAACGCCCTTTCTAAGCACCTCTTCGACCGTAAAGCATTTGGCGTAGATCTCAATGGCTCCAATCGCCGGACCGATGCACCAAGCGCCCCGACGGTCCTCGACAGGACGGAGCGCGAGCGACGCGCACGGAGTGACCGTCGTGTGGTGCGAAAGCGCCATCTTAAACCGTGTGAAGTGCGAAAGAAATGCTAGTAATCCTTTCCACCTATTAAGGACACGGCCCCCCCCCATTTAGAAAACCTCGGGTAATAGGAGGTCCTTGAAATCGGGGTTGTCCAAAATAGGGTCACCTGGGAAGAGCTTCAAAACCAAAAAGTCACCCAGGAAAAAGTGCTGCTTTGTCCGTTATTAAACTCATATCAAGAGTTTATTGTTTAAACAACTCCAGATCGAAGGGTCTTCCTTTTCCCCTACAAAAATGTTTATTAGAATGGTGATTCTTCATTAGACTAACAACTAAAGCTTTCAAAAGGTGATGTCGCTGTGCGATGCGGTTTTGCGTGACCTCGGTGGCAAGTGCGTTTGCGTGCGTCCGTGCCGTTGGGGGAAGGAAAACCTGGTGGTGTAAAACGCGGCGTGTCATGGTGGATGGACAGGGTGGACAAAGGTGGGCAGTTACGGTTGTTTTTGGAACCTAATTAAAAAGACCTACCCCAAAATCGGCCATGTTGGTAGTTTAGTAGCGATTTTTAAGGGTGGTATATAATTTATAAACAAATATAAACCGTACTTAATTAGGGGGATCCGACATGACTTTTTTAATTGGGGTCCGTTTTTTAAATAGGTACTCGGGATTAGGTGGAGGCCATCGATTTGTTTTCAAAGTGATTTGCGTGCGAAAGCTTTTGCCCTTCCAAAAAAAGAACACACGGAGAAACACATTCCGCTTTCGTGTGAAGGGCCAAGTTCCGGAACGAACAATACCTCGTCCCATTTCGAACCAACCCGGGACACCTTGGTATAAACTGACTGTATAAACACGCTTGGAAATCATCTATCTTCGCTGCCTATTTATCACTTGCAATTCGATTCTGCAGTTTAACGAAGTCTGCGAAACCTCAAACAAAAACTACAAAAAAGGCTCCTCCCTTATGAAACGGCCCACCACATTTGGCCAAGCAACATCGAAGAAAAGGAACCAAACTTCTTTGGACGGAAGCAGCTTGGGATAGACCATCACATCATCCGCATCCTCGGTGGGCCTCGGAGCGCTGCCGCTGCTAAAGGCATTGCCTGAATCTCAAAGGTTGAGAGCCAGACACTTCGCACACCGTTTGAAAACGCCTCACGATCAGAAAGCCCACAGAACCTTGTAAAGATTTCGAGACTCTTGCAAAATTTGAAGGAACCAAGAATTGAAAGGGTCAACAAGACATTGAAAGAACGTGACCTAGTGACAGCTCCAGACGCATCAGTATAGTAGTATAGTCAATAGAGTCAACGGAAAGCAACATCAACCTCGTCAAAGCTCTTTTAGGTTGGAGGCCATCGCTCTTAGGTTGGAGGCCATCGCTATTAGATTGGAGGCCAGTGCTTCTAGGTTGGAGGCCATCGCTCTTAGGTTGGAAGCCATCGCTGGTAAGTTGGAGGCCATCGCTTCTAGGTTGGAGGCCATCGCTCTTAGGTTAGAGGCCATCGCTCTTAGGTAGGCCTCCATCGCTATTAGGTTGGAGGCCATCGCTATTAGGTTGGCCTCCATCGCTATTAGGTTGGAGGCCATCGCTATTAGGTTGGAGGCCATCGCTCTTAGGTTGGAGGCCATCGCTCATATAGGTTGGAGGCCATCGCTCTTAGGTTGGAGGGCATGGCTTCTAGGTTGGAGGCTATCGCTTCTAGGTTGGAGGCCATCCCTCTTTGCATCGCTCTTAAGTTGGAGGACATCTCTTCTATAGGTTGGAGGGCATTGCTATTAGGTTAGCGGCCATCGCTCTTAGGTTGGCGGCCATCGCTCTTAGGTTGGCGGCCATCGCTAGTAGTCTGGAGGCCATCGCTCTTCGGTTAGAGGCCATTGCTCTTAGGTTGGCGGCCATCGCTCTTAGGTTGGCGGCCATCGCTAGTAGTCTGGAGGCCATTGCTCTTAGGTTGGCGGCCATCGCTCATATAGGTTGGCGGCCATCGTCTGGGGTTGGAGGCCAGCTAGTAGTCTGGAGGCCATCGCTCTTAGGTTAGAGGCCATTGCTCTTAGGTTGGCGGCCATCGCTAGTAGTCTGGAGGCCATTGCTCTTAGGTTGGCGGCCATCGTCTTGGGTTGGAGGCAACATCAACCTTCTCAAATCAACTTTGGCGAACCCGAGCGATCTCGTCCACTTCTCCAGACGCTCGCTCGGCTCGCCCGGCTCGCTCGGTTCCCGCGGTTGGTTCCGACCTGCTCAGCACCAAGGCCTCTTGGGACCGAGGTTTCCACATGCGAATGAAATTGTCCTGCGCACGCGAGGAAGAAAGGCCCAATGGCGCGCACTTGGACACCCAAATGTTGGCGCCGAACAGGTTTCCACAAATCAATCAAAACAAGGGGTGGGTTTGACCCTTTCTGACTTTCCCATCCTAAAACCTCTAAACTCATCCCATCTCCTCTGGACGAGACACCAAATCGCCAGTCTGAGCACGTGAGCACGTGGCGTTCTGAGCACATTCAGTGAGACGTGTGTGCGCGTGAAACCCTTGGAATCATAAGGGATCTGTCGGTATTTTCTTCTGTTTCAAGCGGGGGCAGTATCCCACTCATGAGTCTACTGGCAACGAAGCTACTCATGAGTTTGGCAGGATATCGGAGCTGATCACTCCGAGGTA